CAGTATGACAAGGCACATTCGATACCGAAGAAGGTCCGTCGCGAAATAGAGGCCCAGCGCGTTTGTACGTAACTTGCAAATTAGCCATTTAATCGCACATCTCCCACAAGACGCAAGCTCGACACCAGGAATCGGTCATAAAGTAAGCTTCTATCGGAGCTCGTATCAAGTCGTTCACACAAAAGTGGCACGCATCACACCGGGAGAGGCCTGACATTTCAGCCTCTGTCGATAAGCGATGTAGTTTGAAGCGCACACCACTAGAAATTTGCTTCTCGAATCTATTACGCTATGGAGTCAGCTTTTCCAGCAAGGAATTGCGCCCAAATCCCCAACGTTGAAGGTGAAGGCGTTCCATGCCTGGATTATCGAGTCACTATCACGTTTATGGCTCCTGCTGTAATATCGATGATTGAGGAACACGTCAATGTAGAACCTCATGCTCAGTGCGAAAATTACCCGCACTCGAGTCAAAACCATCAAGCCTTGATGAATCTGACAGCCTCATTCGATAACGACCGCTTATCGTGTCGGAAAAGCGATCCAACACTCTATGAAGAGGCAATTACGTCGTCTTCTCCACAGCAGCACGCAATACATCGCGATCCCTGATTTCCTGAGCGGTGCTAATAGAAGTACCGACACCACTTACAGCACGGTCGTCTTTATATTGACGCATTAGTGCGGCCCCGTCATAATTGTAAGAATGAATCTTGCTACCACCTTGATTGCTCTCACAAGAACGTCTCCGCGGCGGAGATGGAGATGCTGACTCATTGGACGATCAGAAGATTTCACGGCGCTCAAAATGGCTCATGTCTTTTCGCAAGGCCGAATTATTCGGCTTTTTCGTCGCCTCTTTCGGCTCCGTCTTTCTAGCAGCCTTCGTCGGCTCGTTGTAGCCAATAGAATTGCCAAAGTAAACCAGCTTGAGGTCGTACTCATCAATGCCACACGGTTCGTCACTGCGTGAGCCTGCACCAGAAGAGGCAGCAGGTAATTTTTCTCCTGCTGCGTTTACGGACTATAAGTTATCTGCCGCAGCGGACCTAGTCTCATTGCTGCATTTATAGCAGCTTTGGCTACACATCGCGTGGACTTGTTAACCGTACAGGGAAAAGCAGGATGGTCGGAATAACACACAAGTACTCCCCTTTCCCAAACTCACTCAAAAGGGGCACTTAGGTATCAATTAGTACTTAATGTGGCTTGTAGTTAAGGGAAGGTATTAGACCAGTGTGCCTCTGTTACATGACAATTCATACAAGGCAAACATAAAGTGCGAATATTGTGTTAGGACGAACAGAATGTTCTCATAATGCTGACTGAATAAGTAATATTGTGCTGCAGAAGTAATACACTGCTCATTGTTTGACATAGATTAGCTAAATCAACCAGTAAAGCCTAGCCACGACTGAAGAACGCGATGAGTGGTGAGCAGATTGTTACAATACTTGTTTTATCTCAGTGTAGTTCAATGAAGACAAAATTGGACTTATGGACAGGTAATTAACTATACTTAGTACAATTCCAATTTGCCCTTCTCTTATGTTGAACCCTTCCTTTGCACGATGCGTGTACGTGAAGTATCGACGCATCACCTTACTCTGTGTTCAGTGTAAGTAGATTCTGCTGTGACAGTACAAGTTACCGGTCCCCCGTTACACAACAGGTAGGTTGCGAAAATAAGACTGGTACATATTAAGTGAATCAAGCAGGTACCCTAATGGCTGATAGATGAAATACAAAAGGTTAGACTCGCCTTCCGATGATACGCAAATTCTTATGCGCGCTTTAAATATATTTGAGCGCTTCGAGGATGTGCTCCAACGACATCAAAATAAGACTACAAGTAGAGACGTCATCTGTGTGTATGACATGCTTTGTTGTAGGTGCAATGATGGTATGCCTCAACCACAGGAACTGCCGACGTGTGTACCGCATCCCGGATCTTCCTTAGGCCCTAACGTGTTGTTACAAGTAAGTCTTGTGCGATGGTTACACCCTGTTACAAACTACCACATAAAGAGCGAGATGATTAGTATCCGCCTCTACAAATTCAAAACTTGTTGAAACACAATGAATGGCACGATACGTCAATCTCCCGGACTTATATACTCAAATTAAAATTGGTCGGTATTTGCATCTTGTTCAAGCTAGATCAATCCAGCGTACGTCGATCAAAAAGTTCACGTTTCCTGCTGCATAAAAGGAGGTTAAAGTAAATTGTTAGGAACTGGTTTCCCTCTAGCTTTACACAACGGGGTTTCCGTATCAGTCAGTATCAGGGTGTCCAACCGTTTGTTGCGTTTTAAAGACAACGCACCTACAAAATACACACAGCTGGGATCAAAGATGCTTGACATTTATCAAACGAGCTCCATAAAATGACTGATACCTGCTTGGCTAGCACGATCATGCGCTCAAATATGAAAAATGCTAACAAGTAATCTGTGGGAGATTCTGCGGGAAAGTTTTAATGGATTCGTCTTTAGTAACGATGTACGCACAGCGTGCAACGTATTATAAAGTACAGATTTCAATCAACCGAGCACCAAATCAGCGTCAGAAAAAGGCAGCGTACACCATTTGAGATCCTGGACGACTTGTTATAATAGCAACCGTATCGTCAACTTTATCGATACCCATAACAGTAGTCCCGTAGGCCCTCAGTAGTGGTCCAAAAAATATTGCATTTTTACTTCAGAGCGCTGCAGGTCCGTTGATGTAGCATCAAATGTATGAATAAGTTTCATGTTGATCATATAGGCATATGTAAACACCTGTTCTATGACCAGACTTTATCGGAGAATGGCAACCTAAAATACAAATCAGTCAAAGGTAGGCATACCATTTTTGAAAAACGCCATGACGTGAGCTCAAATTATACTAAAATTCGTTCTCTTACTAGATTGCATCATCGATAATTACCTGTCGATAGCTACTTTCGACAGCAAAAAACGATGACAGTTTCAGCACCATGGATGGAAGGGACGACCTCTTCAGGTTTCCAAAAAAGCGCACAAGTATCGAGTACGGCGTGGCAAACTACGTGTTTTATCTGTCCTACGTGATTGTCCTGTTTGGTAACAGGCAACGAGAAGGCTATTAAGATGCTCGTAGAAGTCAGTTTACTTGGTGTATACTAAGTCTACCACTGCGATGGTAGAAGTGTAGCCATAACATCTAATTTTGATTTCCGCTCCATGAAGCGTACCAAGCTGCTAAGGCTATGGTGACATTTCAACGTATGTAACCTTTTAATGCCGAAAACATCAGCTTTGTAATTTGAACCCCTCAAATGCTGCTTATAAGTGAGCACCTTGACAACAGACATTAGCAACTCGAAGCTTGCATACAGATTGGCCCCTGGAACTGTCAGTAATATTGTATTCATCAGCTAAGCCTTAGACAGCTCTGCAAATCACTAGAAGCTTACAGAGACAAGAACAGCAGTGGCAGTTTGATCGATGCCGATAGGTAATAAGACAGCGTAAACAATTTATACAGATTGTTGACATATCCGACTTTATAATCACAGTTTTTACAGACAAAATCGTTTATTAATTGTGATACTGAATAAATCATATCCTTGTTGATCATTTCCCCTTTCAAATTTCATTAACCCACTCCCTATTCGAGTAGCGACTGCGGCCTCTTTCTATTAATTGAGCACTGTACATAATTAATTTCGATCGGTCGTTACTATATCTATGTTCATCCATTTTAGCGTTCGGATGCTCCCAAATGCGGGCTGTACGATTCCTACAATGTTAATGACATCTCCTCCAGCTAAGCAGCTACAACAACAATCAAGAGTTCAAACCGCGGGGATGCAAGTGATACAGCATTGACAATGGGAACGTTGATGTCATCCGCGCTAAATTAAAACTGAAATTTTATGTGAAGTAGCACTGTAGAGGCTTCTGGGTAAAGAAGTATCTGTACATTTTCTAATGTCTTACAGAAAGGTCTTATGGCAAAAATCGATTTTTCAAGAAAAGCTCACCGTCAGATGATTGGTAACAAAAATACGTATGATTACTGAGACCAAGAAGGTCGCTGGCGGCTTTGGACGATATTAAGAAAAGCAAAAGGTACGGAAGCAGCAGCTATTTAAATTAATAACAGAGAGAGAGAATACAAGGTGATGAGGATGATGACTGTGGTTTTAGCTGGAGGAATGAAATTTGCAGAATCCTATCCGATAACGTGGACGACTGTTTCGCCAAACACATTCTAAAAGCAAGTTTTTAAGACTTACTGAAACGGGGCATCCTTTGTTTGGGGTGCCACGAAACTTCACGTACACTAGACGTGCAGAGGAAGCTAATCTACTTGAACGATTCGTTTAAGTAAAGGTAAAAAGAGAACTGTATATAAAATAGTTAAGCTATCAATGTAACTTCAGCCTTATTTAACTACAATAAACTACGTCGTCGTATGACGACTACCTGCTCACCACTAATTGCGCGCGTCTAGCAGCGATTGGTGGCAATCTATGGCTGACATGTCTTTTATCAATCAATCATGGAGCAGCGCATGAGTATTATCTAAAAGGGATAAGATTCCCTCAATATTATCAATCCCGGATAATCTTGGTAGAATGTTGTCGTGCTAGACAATATTCCTATTGACACCGTTTGGTGTCAATTTCATGTAACAGGCTACCCCATTACATCACCCCCCCCCTTAGCCATCAATCACCCGTTGGTTGAATTAAAATTGATCGGGACAGGGTGATTACCGTTGGATCACCCTGGGAAAGGGATCACTTGTTGGTCAAATTCCATTCATTTGCCAATTCAACGCATGGTTACGAAAACCACGCGAGTTGCTACTGCAGCAGCAAGAAGGGCGGCTGTAAGCATCCGTGCAGCCGCGGAAAGTGCCTCTCTCACACCTCAGCAGAAGGTGATTCGTCGCCTGTTGCTATGAATCCTCTACGTGGTGAGTCATCACATGCGACAGGTACATCCGTTGCGTCTGCAGCGGGTACCATGAGTCGTAATCAAGATGAGTCTGAGATAGAGCTCAATTATTCCGGCGAGTCGGATGCGTCATCCGACTCGAAGGAGACTCCTCACGCCTCCGGATCACCCGGGACGGACACTGCTAGAGCCAGACTGACTGGCTCTGGTCAACGCGGCGGTATCATGTACGAGATCTTCGGATCGAGTGATTATTTCGATATAATTCCGCCTCACGCAAGTCCACCAACGATAGGACGCGTGGGGATGGTGGTGATGCACCTATACATCACCACGAGCGAAGTAACTCAGGGAATCGAGGTGTCACTGGTGTCAGTGCTCATGCTGGCACCAATCAAGAGGCCAGGGACCGATATGTCCTGCACCACGCTCCCCAAGTGGAGTCTCCGTGGATGCCGCCATTCAGAGAGTTGGACCGGTTGGCCGGCACGACCACCAAAAAACGGGATCGAATCCCGTTTTTCGATTGCAGGAAGATTTGCCCACCTGATTCCGGCACGGAAACTATCCGTGCTGAGGAAGATTTCTTCACCGATGCATTTTTCAAACAGTGGTGGTACAATGGTAGCCGTGTTCGAGACGGCACAGCCTTGGTACAAGGATGGAATGCCCTCATCCACAACATCGAGTGCATTGGCCGTAAGGCTTGGCTCGCCAAACTTGATGCAGCTCGCACCAGGTTTGTGAAACGCAACCCAGTCGGGGCACGATACAAGTTGCACCGGCTTTCAAGAGAGGCAGGATTACCTTGTCTCTCGTGGGGTGATTCGTGTCCAGGTTGCCTAGAAAATTCGAATCGTGCCCCTAGGGAAACCTACATCCCTAATTTATCCCTACTGGAGGGCGCGCATCTCTTCCGAGATGGCTGAAGGGATCGACACCTTGCAATCCCTGTACTCGCGTTCGGACAGGTCGTTTTCCGACGGCCCTTCTTCAAACGCAGAGGGCAGGTCTCGTCGTACTTCTCGACGAGACCCTGAACATCAACAATCAGCTGGACACGAGGCTCCCAGCTGTCCGAGGCCGGAGGATAGCCAAGCCAGCGGACGAGGTACCTCTTCCGGACGCCATTCACATCGCGGTGCCTCAAAATACGCTCCACTAGGAAGCGTTGACCACCGCTTGAGTCGACCAAAGGATGTGTTAATGGCAAGAACAACTGATTCGTCTCGAGGGTCAGATCAGCTTGATGTTCAAATGCTGAACCGTGTAACGGAACAGTTGCAAGATGACCTGGCTCACGATTGGACTCGGCGTTACGAGATCCATGATCTTGTAAGGGATAATTAAAATTCCCTAACGTCTGATCGTTAGATTGATCTTGCCGCGTTTGCGTTCGCGCAAATTGTGAGCAAACGTTCTACTCGTTCTCTTCGTGACGAGCTGGCTGTAGCTCGTCGAGACATCGCTGAACTGCGTTAACAGGTCGCTTCGCTAGTCGACCAGACTGGCTCGTTGAAATGGGACCACTCAAAGGTGGTCTCGGCCCTCGACCGCGGAGGTATTCTTCGCATCTCCTAACGGTCTCGTACTGATAGTACGGGCGGAGAAGACCGACGTAAAACGTAGGATGCGAACGCATCTTACAGGGCAGTTCAATCGTGTATGCATTGCCCATTCGGCGCAACACACAAAATGGACCAATTTAACTGGGCAGTAATTTACTGCTGCCCACGTTTGTCACTGCGTGCTTCGGTAAGTTTACTGTAGACAGTAAAACAAGGTCTTCTTCATCAAATGAAACAACATTTGCTCTTCCATGTTTGTCTGCATTTCTCTTCTGTCTTTCTAGTGCATCTGCAATAGAGACTTGAACGAAGTGTACAACCGCTTCGCGAGTCAACAGAAATTCCTCTGCTGATTCGTCTTTGTCAACAGCAGCGCGCTTCGTGTGCACTGCTGAAAGAACGTTGTCTGCACAAGTGAGGGTGTCATCGTCCTCACTGTGGCATTCATTGGTGATGCTGGATATACTACCATCGTCGTCATCATCATCATCGATATCGATATCGATATCGATTGCATCGACATCGGCATCCATCACGTCGACACCATTGTCGACGTGTGATGAGCACGAACCCGATCGGTTTTGTTTTGAGCGATTCCAACCCCCCCTTAAACTAGAGTCACACTCTAAGAAGGCGGGTAAACGTGGATGGCGTAGGCCATTCACGAAGAACGGTGTATGCGTCGTCGACGCATGCACCGAGTTGTTGATGGCGAATTCCGCCATCGGCAAGAATTCACTTCAACTCGTGAACGAGTGGACATACCCTCGAAGTATCTCTACGAGGACGCGTTTGACGCGTTCCGTCTGACCATCTGTTTCTAGATGGTCAGATATAGACATCTTTAAACGTGGCCCAAGTGAACGGAACGCGGATTGCCAGAACTTCGCAATGAAGCGGAGGTCCCTATCAGACACAATTTTACTGAGTAACCCGTGAAGTCGGAAGTTAGAATCGATGAAGACACGCGCACAGCCTTGGCCTGTGATTGACTTGAGCATAAAGATGTACCATCTTGCTGAACCCATCAACAAATACAAGAATATGAGAATTCTTGTAACTTTCTTGTGAAACCCAAAGACGAAGTCCATCGATACGGACTGCCAACATTCTGCCGGATTTGGTAAAGGCGGCAAGTGTGCACGGGATGAAGAATCAGGCTTCAGCCGTAGGCAAGCTTCGCAAGTGCGGATTAATTTGCGCTCAGACTCATACTGGCAAGGCCAGTAGAAGTCAGGTCTTACCGTGAGGTAAGTCTTTTCTCTACCGTGATGCCCACTTGTTGGGGCATCGTGACACTCATACATGATGCGCAATCGAAAATCACTATAAGCGAGAACGACGACACAAGGTGTGTCGCCGGTGGCTGCTGTATGGTACAGCAGACCATCACGAACAGAATACCGTTCGGTTGAAGAGCGGTATCGAGACGTCAAGATTTTCAAAGCTTGAATGCACGGACTGGATACGTAATCCATCAATCTCGGAAGAGACTCATCTTCTGCGTATGCTTTTCGCACGTCGTTGCGTAAAATTCGACGACGAAAAACTTACCGATAGTGTTGCAACAGTGGGATCAACCCTACTGTTGTGCTGAGCAGTCGGCTCGAAATCGGGCCGACGCAAAAGAGCATCAGCGAAGACATTAAGTCTTCCTGGTTTATAATTGACGGAGAAGTTGTACTCCGCGAAGAAAGAAAGCCACCTCTCCATTCGTTGCAAGAGATGTGGACTGTTTACGGCTGTGCGTACTGACGCATGGTCGATATAAACGACGAAAGGCCTATCTCCTAAGTGATAAAACGAAAACTTAGCCAGTGCATATTCATAAGAAGGAGTTCCTTGTCATACACTGGGTAGTTACGCTCAGCTGCTTGCAGTTGACGCGATTGATAACAGACTTTGCGCTAAACACCGTCTGAGTCGTACTGCATTTACTCGCAGCCGATCGCAAAATCGCTGGCGTCGCAGACCAAGTGAAATGTTCTGTCCTGGTCTGCAATCGCCACCGCAAGCGATTATATCAAGCTTTATTTGGAGCCTTCGAAGGAGTGCTGACACTCAGCGCTTCATGAACACCTATCGTTTTTCTTTTGTAGATGAGAAAGATTTACGGTCATCGCGGCATAGTTGTACGAGTACTTGTGCAAGTACGCCGCCAAGCCAAGGAACTTTCGAAGTCTCTTGACGTCGACTGGCACGGGCCAGTCGCTAATCGCCTTGATCTTTTCCGGATCAGGGCGTACACCGTTTTTACCATTGATGCAGCCAAGAAGTGTTTTTTCGTTCGCTGCGATTATACACTTCTTGAGATTCGCGAACAACTTACGCTCTCGCAATAGAGTAAGAGCCTTCCGGACATAAATTCTACGAGCCTCCACGTCCGTCTTTCCATCCATAGCCCGGCTGTGGACGAAGACATCGTCCAAGTAACTCGGTGTAAAATCGTGCACCGATCGCAACAGATTCGTAACCCATCCGTGTGGCGTTGCGGGGCGTTACTTAGCCCCTGTGGCATCACTGTATACTCCAGAGCATATTACTGGGGGTGCTCACTGCTGTGTACGAAATGTCATGTTCACGCATGAGGATCTGATAGAATTCATCCATCAGATCCATAAACGAAAAGATGGTACTCTTTGCCACACCATCTAGGATGACGTCCTTCCTCGGTATCGGCGTTTAATTCGGTACCGTTACAGCATTCAATTTGTTAAACGCGTGCACTATCCGCCACCCTCCTGTGGCGTTTCGCACACAGAAGTTCGGAGAGCTGTGTGGGGATGCTGATTCCCTCACATGACCAGCCGCTAATCGATCGGCAAAGAATTTGTCGAATGCTGTGACCTGTTCTCGAGGCAGTGGCCACCGCTTCGTGACACAGTACTTCGAACTAGATTTCAGTCCGATCTCATGCCAAGTGCCTGTGTCCTTCGGCAGCTCGCATGGCACGGATTAAGGGTGAACATCTCTACATTTGACCAAATCCTTATACAAAGAATTTGTCTTCAAAGACTACCAAGATTGAGACGTGTATCGCTCAATCCGAGTCTTTTCATCGTGGACACTATCGTCCATCGAAGAGCTACTGAGCACCCGTCCGTTCTCAGCAAACACTTGTGCTGGCCGAATATTGGCGACGTAGTCGTCCTCTGTGACGAGTACGAAAATCTGCTTGATCCTGTCACAACGCAGATCTCGCAAGAATCGCTTAGATTCTAGCGTTGGCAACTTGATTACCTCCGAAGCTGACTTTAGAGGTGTGATCAGATCAATTGCATAAGCGCCCACACTTGATCCACCATTCACGAAGACGTTCACCGTCTTGGTGCTTTCCCGGGGAAAATACATCCGCAGGTGGTTGGGGATCCACACCCTCAACATAACTCTCTCGGATGTTATTGATCTCAGGAACACCGGAGTTCTCTTCCGTTACGGGTACTATCATGGTCATGTCCTCTTCGATCGACTCTCTCTCAGTCGATCGGGCTTGATCTACGATCGTCTCTCTAGTAGTCGATCTTGCTTCAACGTGTTGTTCATCCTGAACAACACTAATCTCTCTTCTCGGATGCACCCTTCTTGGTGTGCATCCGTGTTCCAGTCCACTCGATCTCTTCGAGTAGTGAACCTACGGCGCAGCCTGTGTCTCTACACAGGTACCGGAAGCTGGTTCCACAGTGCAGTGGCCTTCTACACCGTGATCTTGTGCAATCGTACTAACGACCGTACCACAGTGAGGCCATCGCACTCACTCGTAGTACAAACACACGCTTGTGGACGCTCCAAGACGTTCATCAGATGTCCATCTGATGAACAAACGGCAGGCATCTTTACAGATCGATGCTGCCAGATAAACCATGGCTGGTATTTTCTAAGCCATGGCAGACCAAGGATGACATCAAATTTGTCATCCAAATCTAATACGATAAAGTCAACATCGTAATGCTTTCCTTCTAGCGTGTAGTGGATTCACACTACACGTATGTTCACAGTTACGGATGCGCCTATAGCAAGGCACACCGTCATCCTCATTGGAGGGCTGAAATTATAAAAAGATAAAAAAAGTAATTAAAAGAATTAAAAGATTCTACTACGCCAGACAAAAGCCCAACGGTTCGTCATGATGAGGTTCACTTTGGTGGTCTATTTTGTTGGTTTGCACACCAGGGTAATGATTAATAGGGACAGTTGGGGGTATTCATATTTCAACATAGTTGAGCCTATTATCCCCTAGCGACTGACGTCGAATAAAACTGTTCGAAGCCCCACAGTCAACTAAGGCTCGAAGTGACATTCAACTTGTCACTTCGATCTTCAAAGTGATGAGAGACTCCTCATCACTAGGGGCAGTAACACACAGAGACTGCGTGTTGGGAGCAATAATCGTCAAGAGTCCTGCAAATTCTCTTGACGTTGCTGGATCAGCAGGGTGCTCCGCCCCTTCTGACCCTGACCGTTTTTGGTTAGTCCGACTTGCTGTCGCGGTTTAACGTAAAAGTCGGACCCTCGACTTGGACCTTGCTTTGGTTAACAAAGATCATCACGTCCTGTATTTAAACGTGATCGGGGTGCTTAGGACACTACACTCATGAGCTTAGTGTCCAATCTTCTGAAAGCGATGGCACCTTGCCGATCGCTTGTGACTTAGAGAGCGAGAGTTCTCACTCTCGACATAACAGAGATCCATTGGTTCGGAACTTCCACTTTCCTGTCGTCTAGTCGATAGTTAGATGAGTTAGCCTGTGACTGTCTCAGGCTGAAGTCTTCTTGTTCCGCAGACACTATCGCTTTTTACAGCGTATGAAGGTCCTCTCGGAACATGCAGGGCTTCACCGGCCCTTCTGCAAGATTGTAGATGAACACGTTGATGAGTGTGTGCTCATCAACAGGGTATTCCGTGACGCTACTCGCAAGGAAGCGGACGTGTTGTATGTTAGCATGCACATCACACTTACCTAGCTTGAGCCTCAGGAGTGCAGAGCGTGCTCTGAACTCGGTTCTTGGCGTCTCAAAATTGTTTTGGCCGAGACTTCAAGATCTCTAACGGCTCGAACACGTTTGGGTCGTGAAGCTTGAGCCCTAAGGCCCAAGTCTTTGCTCGTCCCGTCAAATTTGACAGGGCGAAGGTGACTTGCATCTCGTCACACTCGATGTGACAGGTCCTGATGGCATCGTCTAACTCGACGAACCATCTCAATAGGGAATCTTCATCGGTTCCCGAAACCTTGAGATATCAATCTACAAGGTTTCGGGTCGACGCATGTGCGTCGGTCCGCCCATCGACTGATGAGAGCCTTGCTGTTGTATCAAGGCTGTCTTATGTCTTTCGACGGCAAGTTCCCCTTGTAGGAACTTGTTGATAGCAGCATGTTGATAGCAGCATGTTGCTGGTCTCTGCTTAGAGACTCCAACATACCGCTGATGGCGGGTTCGCCCATGAGCACACTCATGCGGCCGACTACCTCCCATTCTGAGTCACTCAGACAGGAGTAGCCTTCACGTGTGACGTGAAATATGTGGTTTTCAACGTCCAACATGTTCATGTTGAACGGACACTAAGTAGTCGTTGGAAGGACTACAAAGTGCTACCAGGTGTAACGGGGCACCCTTTGTTTGGGTGCCACGAATCTTCACGTACACTAGACGTGCAGAGGAAGCTATTCTACTTGAACAACTAGGTTGAGTAAAGAGTAAAAATAGGACTGTATTTAATATAGTTAAGCTATCAATATAACTTTAATCTTTATCTAACTATATTAAACTACGTCGTCGTATGACGACAACCTGCTCACTACTAATTGCGCGCGTCTAGCAGCGATTGGCGGCAATCTATGGTTGATTTGTCTTTTATTTACTAATCTTTTAGCAGCACATGACTATTATCCTAAAAGGGGATGATGCTCCTTCAATATTATCCACCTCGGATAGTATTGGTAGAATATTGTCATGCTGGACAATATTCCTATTGACACCGTTTGGTGTCAAATTCATGTAACGGGCTACCCCGTTACACAACCCATTCGAACCCAGAAAACGCGATCCGCAGCGGTCACATCAGCAACAACAAGGCGCCTTCGTTGGACTTTGAGAGTTCAAAGAGGCGGCATGAGAAAGTGCTGTCAGTGATGTATCAGGTCAAGGCAGAAACTAGAGTTTCTCTTGTGTCTTCATTATTCCTGCAACGATATGGAAAAGTTTGCCCTATCAAATACATGGCAAATGTCCACGCTGCAATTCTCGCTCCGTGACGCGTGAAGCACCAACGCGTGTACCGCTTTAGACGTGTCAAAAGGTCAGATTCAGCCTATGTAACCCGTGTGGTATTCGCCTCCTCCCGTGGAGATACCGACTTCACCGTGTTGATCATTGCAAAAGCCGCTTATCTACCCTGTGGCACGACAGGAATGTGCCGATGATCATTGTATCATATTAAGATCATTACTCATGAGAACAGCACTGAAGGTTAGCGATCATGGGTCGTGAAACTATCGCTGGTTTCGAAACAATATCTAAATTAGTGCGCCGGTATGTCGTGAGAGAAAATTGCATGTGTTTTACAGTCACTCGTGAATAAGTGTCAGTAGTGGCTGTACTGTGGATGCCAAGGTCGTGGCAAGCTCGTTCGATCATAAAACGATGGTGATGTCTAGCTTGACAGGCGTTGTATGGCATGCGCATTTGAGACTGTAGACAATGAGATTGAGTCCTGAAAATGTATTCGTTGTGTGGTGTGTAATCTTCATATTCCAGTGAATCTAACAAAGTAAGTTCTGTTTGAGACTCCGTCTTGACTCACGATACAGCTTCTCTAGCTGCTTAGGTTGGCTATTGTGGTGTGAAGTTGCTCGTCGTTTATGCTGTTACAGGCGTGATCGAGGCGATGATGATGGAGCTGCAAAAAAAGGAAGCCGAGACAGGTCGCTCACTGACAGCTTCCCATCGGCTTGCATTCTTTTGCCACTTTTCTCTAGTAGCGCTGCATCACAAAAAATGTAGTCATCAGTTTACCAGCAACTGTCCACTACGCGTACGTAGAAATCCCAATAGACCCTTGTCGTCAATCTACTCCCGTCGATGTTTCGAACACATTTACATTCAAGTGCCAGTATCGTCAGTCCACCTAAGAAACATCGATACAATGCGTTTTTGCTCGTTAAATAGTGCAGAACAATTTCTGTACTATGAAGGAGCAAAACGCATCGTCTTCCACCACCCGGATCCGTCCAGGTGCGCGTCCTGGTGGACTCATTGACGGGTGTTGCGTGAAAAGCAAAGAAGCGCTCACCCTACTCAGCCTTTACACTGTCAACAGCTGAGGGCGAGGATGATTGGGCCTTCTTCGTTCGTGCAGAAGTTGTGGCAAACTGTACGCTACTGATCGATGTGTGATTGATGGCTATAATTGGGGCGCCGCTGGCTCCTCATACATTCTTTAGCACATTATCTGTCAAAATGCCCGACAAATTCCAGCGAGCCTTGATATCCTCTAATCCGTTCCAGTTGCTTAGTCATTTCAACGACAGGGCAGCTTGTTTGAGCTGCGGTTCCGGTCACGACAACCCGAAGTACCTATCGATTCGGTGGTATTGAAGCCGTTAGCAACGCGTCGCACGACGTTTTGTGGTTGTCTTGCCGAGAGTCCACAATGCTAACGACGGGTTTGTGCACCTGGCATTGGTCGGCTTTGCTTGCTCGCCTTTTCGGGCAGCTTCAAATCGCGGACCCGGCGAGCCACATATCCCCACCGAATAAAGAGCTGGAAAGCATAGCTCACGCAGGATGCGTATTTCTTGAAGCAACGACAGCGCAACGCAAAGCACCCAGAGTGTCGAGATGGAGCAGCCTGTATTTTCGGTGCTTCCTTCTGTTATGGATAACCTCAAGCTTTTTCGTACAAATCAACGACCGGATCAACCTTCATAGGCTACGCCGCTACAATAAGTAAAGATGCGGTAGCGTACGATGCAGGTCACGGTGTAGGCTTATCGCCTCGAGCACAACGCTACAATATCATGTAATGGCGCACTCGCCGTGATCGCCGGTTGTATGGGAATCCAGTAATAGATGCGGAGAATTCTACTCGTCCCGTGATTTTGGGAAGCGTAGTAATTCTCACGTGAAATCGTTACAATGTCGGTCCCATCCAGTTCTGACAAGCTGAGATCATTTAGGAGGAACATCTACCTGCTACGCCACACATAATCCGTAGCGAGTAATGGACGTTACGTATCCAGCGAGAGCGACAACGTACAGCAACAACAACAACAAATGATACGAACCACAGACAAGACATTCCTTTCTACAAATGTACTAACGTACTTGAAGGATCAGAAGCACCGACACCCTGTTGTCGTGCAAATGCATGTTCTGGTTTTGACGTCGCTGTACGTGCAGAATACAGCTAAGACCCGATTCTCGCTATGGCGTGCCACACTTGAGCTAGTATTCGCTTTACGCAGCATAGGTGCAGCGTAGTGGTGTCGTTGTCTTAGGCTTCGTCAAGATGTCGTGATGTTGTTTCCACGGCACTGTAACGCATGCATAAGATCAGTGAGACTGTCGTGCAGTGAAAGCGCGGGACAGCCGCTGCTACAAAGCATTATCCTGGCGATCCCGGTGTTTGTTACAACGTGCTCTAGAAGCAGATGGTACCACGCGCCAAGGCTGCGGACAAGCGGACGAGAAGACATCCGTAGCTGCAGAAAGAAACCTTATCCATCTTAACCTGTCCCCTTACCTGATTGACCTCATCTGCTGGATTCAAGGCGAGACCAGGTGGGCCGAAGTAATTCCGATACACGGGCTCATTGGCCACAGCACCGCTTCTCCCGAAGCGAAAGACGGCAAGTCGAAATTCGGGCGAAGAAAACCGGATGTTGGCCGACTGCGATCGACACGATCCTGAGCTGGAAAGTTGCAGGGGACGAGTCTGGATCTTGTCGTGCACGTCGTGAAAGTAGCCGCTTTTGCTTCGCCTGTCCAATCTTCGGCAGTGGCGGCAGCAACCACGAAGGGTCAACTGCTGCAAAGCTCTTTATTGTCTCGTTCCGCAACGTCTTATCACAAACATACGGCACTGGTGCTTGTGGGCTGGAGAAGCCACACGGTATGTCCAGCTGAATTTGAGACGACACAAAGCACGGTTTCACGAATGCTGAAGCACTTGTCCAGCTGTCCACCTGTTGATGAAGGTCATACTGACATCGAGTAAAACGTGTTGGATAATAAAACGGCCATTCCAAGCAAGTAATGCGTCCAGTCCAAACCCACGCACGTTCGGCGCAACCTGCTGGAAAGGCATAGTCTCCGTGCGCGTGACAAGCGACGAGACCCGGTAAAACGTCGGCTGAAGCGGTGACCGAACAGCATTGGAACTAGACTCGCAGTGTGCAATTTACCGTCTACATCCAATTTGACCGTCTCACGACCACCCAACCTCACTTCACCTCATCTCGACCAGAAAGCTCGACCTCTTCAATCATGCTAGGCAAGCGATGCGCATCGGAAATGGAGGCTAGCCTCACTGAGTACTATCGCCAAGAGTGTCTGCGTGCCCTGTACGCCAAACAAGAGCGGCCACGCTATTGTGCTTGGGTCAACAAGGACATGATGGCCAAAGCTCCACGACGACCGCGCAAGCGCGTGACTTTCGCCACGGTCCTGGAGATCGTTGGCACCGCCGACGCCAGTGTGGATCGCCGTCCCATTGACGTGTCTCCAATTTCGAGGCTTGAGATCATGGAGTTGCTGTCTCAGCGCATATTTCCCGGCCAAGCTTGCAACTGAAGTCTCCGGTAGCAGACCTGCTTAAAAGACGACGAACACGCCGTATACGAGATAGCAGTCGACAACCATGTTGCAGTGCGACGTTGTCAGCGCAGCGTAGTGTATGTTCTCCGTTGCTCCCACTCCATGTGCAGAGTGGGCTCCAGAGACCAGAAAACGCGGTACTTTTCAAGAACGGACGCTGGTCCCTTCCCACGCGGTCGGGAGAGTGTAGAGTGTGTAACTTAAGAGCCGGGGGCACCCTGACTCGCTATTTAAAGTCCAATTCTAACGTCAACACTTTTTCCATCTCTCTCTTTCGCTGCTTGTGCATTGTCGTTGCCACAACGTGTCAAAAACCAGTTTATAGCATCAAGTGCCTTTCCAGCACATCACGCAAATGTCGTAACATGTAGCTAGCAAGTGAGTGAGTCCCTTCTTTGCACCTACGATGACTGGAGACAGAGACAGCACAAGGTAGTCGATTTCCTCGAGCTGCAAAGAAAAACACAACCAAGCGAGCCAAATAGCAACAGAAGGATACACGCGCCTTGCAACGAGTATGCGCGGGCTTACCAAGACATTTGGTCCCGTCGCTGCAGTACAAACAAGCACGATCTCCTGCAAGGCAAGCTGCTTGCTAGAGCATATATCCGCCACGTTAGTCGTTCTTTTCCTCTTTTAATCGATCGACACATTTGATCCCGTTGTCCGTCTGCCCGACTCGCGTGCGTCGCTTCGGCTGGATCCAGCCTCGACCCTGTGTTGCTAGAACGATCATCGTGTCGATTGATGGACAGCAGCTGCGCCGTCTCCTGCTCAAACAGTCGCAAACGATCGCAAACCGTCGCTGTCTCGAGCGTCGACGCCCATCGCGAGCAGCTCTCCGTCCGTTCAAGATCGTACTCGTCTTTTCAGCCAATCAACAGCACGTCATCGATTTCTGCACTCTTATTCGTTAAAACGTTTTCATTTGATAACGTAGCCAAGTCGTCGTCGTGATCGAGATAATGCACGGCGTCTGCAGCTCGCCGCTGTCGTCTATAGACGGAGAAGAGGACGCAGCGAGTGCGACTGGATTTGGCTTCGTACCGTCTCCTGAATCAAAGCAAAGCACGCGTCGATTGGCGGGCAAGAAGTCGCGAGCGAAAGCCAGGAAGACGATCGTACCTAGCAGGAAAAGACGAAAACCTACCGCGGCGGGCAAGAAAAGTACCCAAACGTTGGTACAAGCCGCACCTCGCGACTTTGTTGCGTACTTAGTCGAGCAATTGACTACCGAGCAGCAGAATACGTACGCAACTGAGTTTGGCACGACACAGGACGCGCTTGTACAGCTGCCAGCAATCGAGCAATGGCCAAACAAACGCCAGCGCGCCGCGCTCTCCCGCTGGCTGCGAGCGCTTGGCTTTGTGTCGAGTGCGACGTTGAAAGAAAGCGTTTTTTGTGTGGATAAGACCGTGGCCGACTCGGTGCGGGCTGCGCTGATGGAGGACGCGTCTACTGCAAGGTATGTCCTCGAAAAAGATGCCGCAATCGAAAAATGAAACGGAAATGTGATGTTCTGGTTGAAGGGCTGCTGATTGACTTATTTCTGCTGTTCTGTGATCATTTCATGCTACTTTCTTGTTTTTGTTGTCTTTTTGTGATGCGTTGTTATTTTCGTTTGATTTTCTTGTTTGTTTTTCTGACGCGGTCTCAGTAGATCAAGCGATGCTCATAACGAAGCTGTTTTTGGTAGCGACGGTTGTTTACTTGGTAATGGAAGCGCGCACCAGAGAGAAAAGCGCGAATCAGATGCAGAGATGGTCCGATTACAAAAGCACTATGAGAAGATGGAAGCGATGACGGTAGAGATCTTGTCGTTTTCCGAGTATCGAATGCTGTCGTCGCTGCATCACGAGGTGATTGCTGATGCGATGGAGAGCGTGCTGGCACGGTCATCTGTCCGTCGGGATCGTCGACTTGCGCGACGACGATCAATGCTTGGGAGGACATCGGCTCGCCGGTTATCTATTGGTCGTGCATCGCCGTGTCGTACTCATCAGCCATTGGTTGCGGATCGGGTCCGGGATCGAGAAAAAACCGATACGAGGATGTCGCTGACTGCGGTCAAATGTCGTGTCTCGCCAGGCGACAGAGGACTAGCTGGGAAGAAGACGTTTCAGGGAGAACGTGTGTTGTGTCTCATTCTTTACTCTGGTCTGATTGACGTGAAGTCGTTCAAGGAAGTGCTTCGCAAAGTCTCAATACGGTACGTTTTTGAGCAGTGTACTTGTTCTGACGCTTCTAAAACTGCTCGCATGTGTTTGCTGCAACTAGGGCATACGCTTGGATTATCGCGGACTACTCAAAGTGCGTTAGAATGATTAGTTGTGGGTCATCATCGCTTCGCATTGAGCTCTGACGACTTCATGCTCTTTGTGTATGCAGGAAAGCGAATTTTTGCTCGATGGCTGAACTCTATAGACGCCATCCGCGAGGCCATCATCACGCAAGTGGGGCTTACAAAGAAGTGTACAAGGTGTTTTCATTCGAGCAGAACCGGCTCGAGGCCATAAGCATGATGGATATTAGCGCACTTGAAGACATCGGCAATCAGGTAACAACGTATACAGCATCGCGATGGAAGTGGGGTATTTGTACGCACTTACGAGTTTTCGGTGGTACTTGCTGATCTATAGAGTGTGATTCGTCAAGAGGTGGCCCACTCGGTATTGCTGTCACACGCGACCGAGGACGGCATCTGCCCAAACTTCCTTCGAGTGTACGATGTTTTTCTTGCGCCTGATCAACCTCGGCCTGATCTATGGGGAAACAGAGCGCACCGCAAGCCGGTTAAGTTGTTAGCGGAAGCGCATGCAAATCCTGGTGCTGAGGTTTGCGAGAAAGACGTACCGGTGTGTCCAAGTAACGAAAGCGAGCGGTTGTTTCAATATATCCGGATGGAATTCTGCGACGGTGGCGATCTGGAGAACTTTGTCGGACTGCAGAAAGATAAAGCCTTGCCTGTGGCTTGTGTTGCTGTGCCATTTTTCTTCCAAATGGTATACAGTATGTACTGCGCCCGGGAAAGATTTAGCCTTCGGCATTGTGATATCAAGGTTTGTCTCGTTCAGTTTCTGCGAATGGGGTGTATCATGTTGTGAGCTGACTTGACCACATTGCGTTGACGCAGCTTCTCAACTTCTTTCTGAAGGACATTGGCTGCACTAATCGCCACAAGGATTCAGGGTCTGACGTCACACTGCACTATCTATTGGAAGATATGTGCTTTGTTCTCCGTATGCCTGCGTCTTTCTCGTACTGGGTCAAACTCGCGGACTATGGTGCAGCCGACTCAAACCCGGAAAATCTGGGAAAACCTGTGACAATTGACCAGTTCACGACTCTTGAAAACTCGCCGATCGAACACTTATTAGAAGGTGATGCAGCTGAGCAGTCGTATGCAGCAGACACATTCTGTCTGGGTTTGTGCATGCTACACTTGTTTACTGGAAGGTGTGTGATGTGTGTACTTTGTTGTGGCTGAGATGGTTGCCTTCTGACTTTGTGTGCTACTGCACCGTGCGTTACGTCAGCGGACCATACGAAGAACTTATGGAAGACGTGCGTTGTCCCACGGAACTCTTGAAGGGGTTAACCAGCATTTGGATGGTACGCGCTGTTATCATGAGCGTGTGTTCGCCGCGACTACCACGACAATTTAACCATCTCTCTGAATGCAATGATTAGAGTTCACGAAAGAACTCGGGGTTTTCTGTGATAAAGAAAGTGGCGCGCGGTGACGATGTTGACACGCTCTGCCACACTCTTTACCGCTTCATTGTACTATTTGGACTGCCAGGGCAAAATCCAAGCGAAAGTAAAGGAATCAACAAGGTGTGGCAGCTGTTGTTAACACATTTGCGGCCAGAGGATCCGGCGCTGACTCGCTTTCAGCGACGATCTCGACGAACAAAAGGTGTGTGCGAAGCTCAAGTGCTCGCAAAGTCGCAGTTTGACAAGGACAAGTCATTATACTCTATCGCTAGTGGATCAAACGATATTATTCGTCGAGGCCGCGAAAGACTGCAGTCTGTCTCGGGTGCAATGGAGCTGCTGAATAAGCTGGTTGACTTTGACCCCGCGAAGCGTCCTACACTGAAGCAAGTGATGTACCACCCGGTGTTTTCGGGCTACCGCATGTGCGACGACGCCACCTCGCCAGACTATGTAATTAGTTACTATAAGAACCGCCATCAGGGTGGTCACATGATCTCGGACGTGTAGAGCAGACAGCGAAACAAGGTGATGGTGCTGGCAACGTTTTGATACTAACATGAGTTCTGTAAATACTTACACGGTCTACCTAATTCGACAGCGTCCCACGATGACTACATACTCCAGCAAGCTGTAAGCGACTGCAGCAATTACTTCGCCATCGATTGGTCGTGACGTTTTCACGCAGTAGTTCAACGGTTGTAGCCGCCTTCAGCCTCGCCATCCTCGCATCAGGCCTTCAACTCGCTGCACCGTTATTTGAATGGGACGAGGGGCTGTGCAGATATGATGGATCAAATCCTCCGGCTTCAAGTACTTCAGGCCATTCACGGCAACAACCCTCGACCCAACTAGAATGCCATGGCGTCTAGCAATGCACTTTTCATCGACGCTACGCACGACGCAGCAAATGTCGTTCGAAGACAATAGACAGCCGAGCTCCTCCTTATCATGCAGCGTCACGTTTATTTCGAGGGTCCTGGGATTCGGGACGGATGAGCTCACGTTTTCTGGTCCATTCGTCAACTTCTGAGAGCGCAAAGCAAAGTGGAACAACGTCGGTCGTGGCACCGTTCGGAGCAAGTCCACGATCCCGTCGAATTTCAAGTTGGTGTCGTTGTTGAGACCGATCAGGAAACTACCGACAATCACATTGGCTTGTTCTGCAGCTCCGCCTGACATAATCCGGGATACTTCGGCAAACCCGCTGCTAGTCTTCGCCGCCGTGAAACCTAGCGGCTCACCACCAGCTCCAAACGTTCGCTCATACAATTTCCACTCAGTTGCGTGCTGATGATGGCGTGGTAGGAACAGACCGACAGGCAACAACAACAAGAGCGTAACTTACTCAGCCTTGCACACATCACCATACAAAAACGATTTGCTGGACCTACCGACGTGCTGACAACGGTACATGTCTTTGAGTGCAAGTCCAGTTGGTCCAGCGGAACCAATACGCAGCACGTCGTGCACTTGACACCAGTGCTGTAAGCGTCATTTCCCGAATTTAACAGTGCCTTCGACGTTATTGCTAGTGGCAAAACCACGTTCTCCATTCTCCTTGCTAAGATCGCATGATCACGGGGACACAACGTCGCAGTAGCAACCAGTGCGAGAAACGACGTGGTCGTGAACTCAACACACTCCTCTCCCGACAGCTCTTTTGCTGCAGCTAGCAACGCCACTTGGTTCCTGTAGACTCGTGCCACATTCCACGAGTACTTGTCCACCATCGTAAAATCCACGATTCGAGCCCCAGCACACACAGCAGTCCACTTTGCATTGCCACCTATGGCCATTGCGCGCGTCTCGTGTACGGACCACGCATCCATGACCTGGGATTTTACAACGCTCGTTTGCACACCGAGTGATCGGTGTTTTCCAGCACAGACTAGACAGAGCAAGACACCGAAGGAGACGCCAGCCCATTGCGGGAAAACGGCTTGACAGTCCATACAGCGCTAGTCAACGTCAAACAATATTTTACCAAGTGCACTGCATCAACCCCTTCCACCCCTTTCAAGCGACTGCACAGTCAGGAACGATTAAAAGATGAAAAGTACATAAATAATCAACAACGTACGTCGTTGCCGGGCAAGAGACGGATCGCCGTCTCCGTGGCACGTGACAGGCGCATCATCGCCTTTTGGCTCAAGCTAGACACTCGTTCTAAGCTCGACGGAATTCCAGACACTTGAAGTCTCAGCAGCTACAAAGAATTACGGAGCTACTCGTCCAGGTCGTGGATTCCGAGCCGACGAACGGACTTTCAAAGGTCTCGACCTGATTTCGATTGGACGGACACATGGACGGGCGCGTACTGTCTCCATGTGTCCGTCCGTCCGTCCGTCACGCACGAGACGTGACTTGAGTGACATCCAAAAAAACGTTTAACGTGGCATGTCAAAGTCGTTCGGGTCTCGAGATAGAGTAGGGCCGATCTGGGTGTCGAGGAAGCGCTATCACACATAATGGACAGCAACCACGCAAGCGACATGATCAGTCACCTTCCTTTTGAGCTGTTTCGATCATGCGAGTGTCTGTGTCACCTCTGAGGGGGAGTTAGAACTCGTACGGAGTTGCTATCTCGACCATTTTACCGATCCCAGCCACCTTACTGGCAGCGATGTTGTAGATAGCGACGACTTGTACTTTACAACATAGAAACCTACTCTGCCCCCCTCCAGCACGCAGAGTCATGTTACAGCATGTATGTCATGTACTCCGCATGTGTGTAGCGCAATTCAGTCCAAGCTGTTCCCGTGAGTTTCTTGATAATCGATTGCGACAATAATCTACGTCTCTACTTCCTCATTTTGGTCGGGTCGACTGCACCTACGCTAATGGCGTGCACCGCATTATTGCTGCACGCTTTTTACAAGCACTTTCCCCACATGCTTGCCCAAAACATGCGAGCTCCTCGATCCGATGCGCAGTATGCAACAAATGCTATCATCATCGCACGGATGACTTCAAATGCATGTACCTCGATGCTACCGTGTGCGAAAATGTTCGTCCACCACCGCAGAACTCGCCAGGTATTCGCCTTAGTATCACGGTTCCAGTACTCGATTTAGAATCCTGTTGTGTTCCAAAACAGTTGCAATGTCGATAGCGCATATTACATCCTGAACGCTTCCTGGTTCTCGTCACGAGCTCGCATTCGTCCTTGCCAGAGTCCAAGCTTTTCGCTGCAGCATCGGTTGGTCATCTTCTCAGGAAGCTCTCAACAAACACCATCATACATACCATAGCAGGGCATCGCAGACTGACGGAACGACTTGTTTGTCGACACAACAGCCCACGTCATTTACAATGATCTGACACAAATCGCCTCGGGTTGTCAAGATCATTCCTATAAACAATCAATCGCAAGATCTGTTGACGTCGATCCGATCCCGATAGACTCCTTGCATCGGTGACGCTGGTTGTCACACTGCTCCGCGTCAACACTTGGCATTCGCACTTGCTCTGGTACTGCTCACACTTACCCAAACATGATTGTTTACATCGACGATCGTGCTTTTATTTCCTTACGATCCGCAATCATCACAGCAGGTGCTCGACTCTATGTGACGTAGTTGGTAAAGCTGATCGAGAACAACTTGAGCAACATCCTTCGTATTCACTGAGCTCATGCTTCCACATTGCCACATAACACAGCTTTTATGTAGCTTGTGAAGCGACAGATGAAAGTTATCGTGTTATCTACTGCATCACCACGTCACAGAAGAAGTGTGGCTGATTGTCTTGAGCTTTTGCTTCCAATTCATTCGACTTGATGTGCTCGACTTCTAGCACTAGTCGGATAGGTAAAGCTATCGAATGGACCACGTTCTACAGTGCAAATACGTACATCTCATCTCGTCCATGTTTGTTCGATCGCAAAAAGACTGACACGGCAGTAGAACCGGCTCACGATAGGCTCCCATCAGTGTACGATTTCACGCAGCATTCTGATCATCCTAAAATCGATTTTTCCTGCCATAGCACAATTTATTGACGCCAAAAGATAATGACTTTTAATTTTTCATGATCGTACGACCCCAAGCAACGATCCAACCTCCCACGAGAGCTCCAGACACAATAGCATAGTCTCAAAATGAGCAATAGTGCCTGCATTCTGAAGAAAAACCTTGTGCGCCGATGAAAATGAGTGTACTTCTATATCTTACAAATGCTTCGTCTGCTACACCGTTGATGTGGACAATGGACGTCCTAGTGATTTTCATGATGCAGCGTTGAGTAAGCTAATACATCAGGCATTCGCAGAGCAATATCGCACACACATCAGCGCTTCCGCGATGCAACGACTGATAGTGCTCCAGATCTGCTTACCATTGGCCTCGTGAAAATACAGACGTATAGAGAAGAACCTCGATTGCTATGGAGAATTGACACAGCAGCTGAGAGTGCTTGACTCGTGAGGCAAATCAGGCTGACGTCGATTGGTTTTGAGTCATGATTTTTACAGCGGTATCCTCGTATTAAAGGTCGAGCAACATCGAAACTTTCCGTTGTTTGCCGTCCAGTTTGTACTCGCACACCAAACAAAAACGGTTACAAGATCACGGCAGGTGTGATACGGGAATCTTCGTGCAACAGTCCTCGTCGCGTTTGTGATCGTCCTAGGTCTCTACGATCTTGTTTTGAGATCGCATTTCTTCGGATATCGATACACTACGGTCTCGCTTCATTAGCCTTGTCACCGCACGATCCACTTCATTAGTATAAAAAAATAATCATCCTTTTTTTTATCTCTTGACTTGTCTTGCATCTGTTACGTCCATGCACGTCTTCAACCAATTAATTTAATTGCATTATTTTATTGTAGCTTGATCGCTACAGCACTGGCCCTGGCTTGACAATCTAGTGCACAGGTTTGTCCAGTTTCGTTATGCGGGCGTGTATGAAGATGATGTTACACGGCCCAACATAGCTATAGAGCATAGTGGAAAGCGGCAGACAGCGTCGGCATTTGCTATTTGTTTATTAAACATGTGTCACGACACAGGCTGCAAGGAGACACGCCAAAGATGGAGTAAGGCCAGCAGTGAGCGTAAGAAGAGCTTATCCGTACGAAATTTACGAACGTTGATTATCGATACGCAAGTTGCAGCTGGTCAAAGGAGGCCTGACGTGACATTACAGATTCAACTTGAGCGCAACAAACGAAAGGTATGTTTTTAGAAACCTTCTTACAAAACGATTTACTATTGTTTTTCGATTATTCCCTCTTTTAATTTATTATTTAAATAGTTATAGGCTGTTTGGATAATTAACATGAGTCTATTTTGTGTGTGAGCGTCAGTCTGTAGCTTACCAGTGTACACGAATCACCCACAGATTCTTGGTAGCGTGATGAGGGTAGCCCACAAGCGATGTAGATACGAAAAGGTACGTCTATTTACACTAACTCCAGACCGCTTCATATGAACGTTCCTCGCTTTTTCATGCGTTCATATCGGTGATATACATGAAGTGTTCCTACCCGAGGTCGCAACCACTTGTAGGAGATGGTTGACAATGTGCTTCTCATTCAAGTGGACAACAGTTATGGATTGCGCTTTCCTTGATAAGGTTGACACACTACACAGTTGGAAGGCGGCGGGTGCCACGCGTAGCTCGCGGCGATTGCTGGAGAGCAAAACTGCAGCAGAGAATTGAGCCGCCGCGATCCACAATGTCGGGATGAGTTCACTTTTCACATTGTATTACTATAAGGACTGCCAATAAAGCTACCATGAGAGTCACGCATCTTACTATGCTGTTAATGTTGCGAGGAGCACTAGTCTTTCGATATACGAGTTGGGTCACCATCTAGTAAAAAAAACTCGCGCATTGCGCTTAAAGCACACCTCATAAAGATCCGGAAATTCACAAACTAAATTTATTTCGCTAATTTATTGATTTTACGCCACCCCGGTTTATAGATTTGCATAGGTCGACCGGTATTGGCGCGATAACTGCTCGAGAAGGGCACACTTCTTCTGATAGATGTGTGCCCTCGAGCAACAGGTGCACCAGGGAGGTGTAGTTAGGTTCCTCTCTCACTTGAGGACAAAAAACATGACCCGGCTGAGGTATTGTTGGCGAACGCGCTCCCCAGGCCGCCACAGAATGAGCGGATCAATGCGAATCGACCGGAAACGACATCCCTAGGGTAGTCAAAAGAAAGCACAGTGGTCATACTGGCCGATTGCAGCGCGGAGAGCGTCATTCTTGGAGTAAGTCTTGCAGAGCAGACGATGGTCATCCTCCATTTGGTTGACCGACCCCTCCGGCTAGAACTTGGTGACGTGCACGCGACACAGCTCGAGGATGGTTCGGACGAATGCGCTGGGGTGAAGCGTGACGAGCCGCTCGGGGAGAATTTGCGAGGTACTTGTCTTGAGTGAGAGGCGAATTGGAGTGGTCACGCTCTGCCTTTACAGTTCGGAGCCCGGTGACAGCTTGATCGCACAGGACGCAATCTACACGAGGACGACGTTCTTGTCGTGTTGCCCGGGAGCTTTAGGCCCTGGGTGGTGAACGATCCATGATCCTCGATATGGACGAGGAAAGAAGCACGCAGAACTCGGTGGGCACCAGATACCACGGTCATGCTCATTCGTGTACTCGGCATCCTCTTCAATGTCGTCCAGGTCTGGGTTGAGCTCGACGCTGGGACATATCGATGAGCTCTGCCAGCAGAAACCAAATTTGCACCTCCTGTTGCGAGATCAGCAGATGCCTGTGATGATGAACGACAAAAGCGGCGTTGAACCTGTCGATGGCGGGCGAGACGGCGTATATCACGATCCACTAGATGTCCATCGGAAGGCTGGAAGCACGGATCTCTGCCGTGTAGGCGATCATATTGAAGCGGTACGTCTTGTAAAACATGAGAAGGCAACCCAGACGAACTCAGCGGGTGGCTTTTGTGGGGCACTTGACGTTCATGCGGTGATCAGAGTGTTCTGAGCTTGCATGAAGACACCGAGTGTGTACGCGAAGTTGACCTAATGCCGCTGCTGGTACACTCCACTCGGCTTCTAGCTCGGTTACTGAACCGATTTGGTACGACGGGCGCCAGATAAGCAGCACGTCATGATTGGCAGCGGAACACATGCGTTTGACCAGGCCTGAGCGGCGGTCGGTCATGGTGTTCTCCCCGTCATACGAGACGCTGATATGCTTAGCGCACTGCAAGGAGTACAGCGCGTCAAGGAACTCGATAATAATGTCAAAGATGGCGAGGTACGTGTGAAGGTCATCATAGAAATGGTGACGAGGTGATAATTGACGATGGTGCCTCGGTAACAGTACCACACGCGCGTGTCGAAGAATGACTGGCTACGATGAGTGCTGCCGTCACCAGCAAATGAGTGAGGTTATGCCGACTGGTTGTCCATTACGTCCGAGCTGCGCTAAATGTTAGACTCGACCGAGAAGAGGACGAATTGACGTACCATTAAGTCATTAACGCCGGTGAGCTTCACCATTACTGTGCGGCGCTTGAAATGCTCGAAGTCCCTGGCCATCTGCCAGAAGGTCATGCCGCTGCCGACGTGGTCCATGGCCAGCTCATAGTGCATGAGGTGCTTGATCTGCACCACGTATTTTTAGTCTCGTCGTCCTTGACGAGCCATCGCAGCACCACCCGCCACCTCGTCGTCTCTGACGAGCAATTTTGATGCTGGCGTCGATGACGGCCGGCTGCACGCTAAAAACCATCGTGTGTGCTGCAAGATCTAGACGATGGTGTAGTGTGTTCACGCGCTTTATCTTACCACTGAAGTAGACCGGCTTGTCGGCCGGAGCCGACGTAGCATAGGTGGACCATGACGCGGCATGCAGCGATGTGTTGCGGCTGCGATAGTTCTACGGAGCGAATGGCCTGCGGCTTTACTGGATGTCGACACGATACTTTCGCTTGCGCCCCTCATTGCTCCCGACTTGGACCGTGTCACGGCCTCTAAAGACGCAGAAGAGGCAGCGGACGATTTACACTCCATGCTTCTTCTGCTTCTTGATCAACTCTACGCCATATTCCAGAGCATGCTTCGCGTGTAACGTCTTCTGGCACTTCGACTTTGGCTTTTTTTAATGTGACGCAGCCCTGATACGCCACACTTTTTGAGTAGGTTTTATTTTAAGGCCTCCCGACCCGCTTAGTTAATGAAAATCGGGGCTATTTTTAGATATTCTATAATTTAGTAAGACTTTGCTTAGAGGGAAACGTTGCCACGAACCACTTTTCATGTTTAAACTGTTTTAGATAAATTCAACTCAAGAAAAAATTGTCGGATACTTTATTGGAAATATAGAGCGTTTTTTCCTTTTTTTAAATGAATGCCAATCTTTTTGCAAATACTGCACCTTTCCCCGTGCACGCTATGGTACATCCAGGGAGCAATAAAACTGGATGAGAACGATTGGTGTGTTTTGGCGAGTGATGCGCGTAACATGGTGACGACGAGGGTAAATGAGCCGTGCTAGGAGTAGCTGGCACGAAAAGAGGTTACGACGATAAATATCAATTATAAGACGTGAAAGAGCTTGGCAGCCGATAAATGGTTGCTGCGCAGGACTGTTGAAACGTTGCCAAAAAGAAACTGACAGCAGGAGTAGAAAAAGTGAGGAAAGAAGATGAGGTTAACCATTCGTCTATCTATTCATTGCTTTCGACAATACACTGCCGAGCTACGATCGCTTTCGATGTTACCAGCCGAATATAACGTGCTTGCTCCCACCACATTTGCGAAATGTAAAAATTGATGGCGGCAACTTGATCCTGGTTGATGTGCTCGTCGATCTCCCACTGGCTTCCGACACCGGCCTCAACAATTCTAGGCCTGGTGTGGCTCTAAACAGCAGGTTTAAAAAGAAAACAAATCGATGTGGAGAGCGACTAAAAGAGTGATAATTCTTTGTGTGAAGGCTGGCGGCAATCAAGAGCGAGTAATACGTGTGAGATGTCGGGCATTACAGTCTTTCGTGGCGACAAGAAACGTATTTTTATCTGCAACATATGCCTGTAATACATGTATTTATTCAAGTCACCTTGAAGTGATATATTGTTTTATCTTGTGGAATTATATTTTGAAGTCCTTAAACTTAATCAACGTTAGATTTTTTATCTCGTGTGCTAACTTTAAAGATTGTCAAAGGGTGTACCACAAGGTGAGAAAACAATAACTAAAAATCAGTACTTTTATAATTCACTTTACGAGATGGTAGAGATCAGTTTATCAAAATAAAAATCATACTAAATATTGTGATTGCTAGTGCCCTAGATGGAGCAATTCTTGTTTCATGATGCTGGTACATTTCAGCAAGATGAATTGATCAGACGAAATGTTGCCCATTTTTGCCAGTCATTGTAACGGGTAGCCCGTTACATGATATTGACACTAAACGGTGTCAATAGGGAGATTGTCTAGCGTGACAATCTTCTCCCGTTTATCCGAGATGGATGGTTTTGAAGGAATACTATCCCCTTTCAGGATAATCTTCATGCGCTGCTCAAAGATTGGTTGATAAAGACATTTCAACCATAGATTATCACCAATCGCTGCTAGACGCGGGCAAAGAGTGGTGAGCAGGTTATCGTCATACGACGACGTAGATTACTACAGTTAGATAAAGATTAAAGTAATATTGATAGCCTAACTTTATTAGACAAAGTCCTTTTTTTAATCTTTACTCAACATAGTTGTTCAAGTAGAATAGCTTCCTCTGCACGTACGAGTGTACATGAAGTTTCGAGGCATCCAAACAAAGGGTGCCCCGTTACACCTGGTAGCACTTTGTAGTCCGTTCAACGATTACTTAGTGCCCGTCCAACATGAACATGTTGGACGTAGAAGACGACAGCTTTCACGTCACACGTGAAGGTTACTCCCATCTGAGTGGCTCAGAGTGGGAGGTAGTCGGCCGCATGAGTGTGCTCATGGGCGAACCCGCCATCAGTGGTACGTTCGAGCCTCTAAGCAGAGACCAGCAACATGCTGCTATCAACAAGTTCCTACAAGGGGAACTTGCCGTCGAAAGACAGAAGACAGCCTTGATACAACAGCAAGGCTCTCATCAGTCGATGGGCGGACCGACGCACATGCGTCGACCCGAACCTTGGAGATTGATATCTTAAGGTTTCGGATACCGATGAAGATTCCCTATTGAGATGGTTCGTCGAGTTAGACGATGCCATCAGGACCTGTCACATCGAGTGTGACGAGATGCAAGTCACCTTCGCCCTGTCAAATTTGACGGGACGAGCAAAGACTTGGGCCTTAGGGCTCAAGCTTCACGACCCAAACGTGTTTGAGCCGTTAGAGATCTTGAAGTCTCGGCCAAAACAATTTTGAGACGCCAAGAACCGAGTTCAGAGCACGCTCTGCACTCCTGAGGCTCAAGCTAGGTAAGTGTGATGTGCATGCTAACATACAACACGTCCGCTTCCTTGCGAGTAGCGTCACGGAATACCCTGTTGATGAGCACACACTCATCAACGTGTTCATCTACAATCTTGCAGAAGGGCCGGTGAAGCCCTGCATGTTCCGAGAGGACCTTCATACGCTGTAAAAAGCGATAGTGTCTGCGGAACAAGAAGACTTCAGCCTGAGACAGTCACAGGCTAACTCATCTAACTATCGACTAGACGACAGGAAAGTGGAAGTTCCGAACCAATGGATCTCTGTTATGTCGAGAGTGAGAACTCTCGCTCTCTAAGTCACAAGCGATCGGCAAGGTGCCATCGCTTTCAGAAGATTGGACACTAAGCTCATGAGTGTAGTGTCCTAAGCACCCCGATCACGTTTAAATACAGGACGTGATGATCTTTGTTAACCAAAGCAAGGTCCAAGTCGAGGGTCCGACTTTTACGTTAAACCGCGACAGCAAGTCGGACTAACCAAAAACGGTCAGGGTCAGAAGGGGCGGAGCACCCTGCTGATCCAGCAACGTCAAGAGAATTTGCAGGACTCTTGACGATTATTGCTCCCAACACGCAGTCTCTGTGTGTTACTGCCCCTAGTGATGAGGAGTCTCTCATCACTTTGAAGATCGAAGTGACAAGTTGAATGTCACTTCGAGCCTTAGTTGACTGTGGGGCTTCGAACAGTTTTATTCGACGTCAGTCGCTAGGGGATAATAGGCTCAACTATGTTGAAATATGAATACCCCCAACTGTCCCTATTAATCATTACCCTGGTGTGCAAACCAACAAAATAGACCACCAAAGTGAACCTCATCATGACGAACCGTTGGGCTTTTGTCTGGCGTAGTAGAATCTTTTAATTCTTTTAATTACTTTTTTTATCTTTTTATAATTTCAGCCCTCCAATGAGGATGACGGTGTGCCTTGCTATAGGCGCATCCGTAACTGTGAACATACGTGTAGTGTGAATCCACTACAGGCTAGAAGATACCCAATATGATGATGACTTCATCGTATAAGATTTGGATGACAAATTTGATGTCACCCTTGGTCTGTCATGGCTTATAAAATATCAGCCATGGTTTATCTGGCAGCATCGATTTGTGAAGATGCCTGCCGTTTGTTCATCATATGGCCATCTGATGAACGTCTTGGAGCGTCCACCAGCGTGTGGATGTACTACGAGTGAGTGCGATGACCTCACTTGTGAAACGGTCGTTAGTACGATTGCACAAGATCACAGTGTAGAAGGCCACTACACTGTGGAACCAGCTTCCGTCACCTGTGTAGAGACACAGGCTGCGCCGAAGGTTCACCACTTAAAGAGATCGACCGGAACACGGATGCACACCAAAAAATGTGGATCACAGAAGGGAATTCAGTATTGTTTAGGATAAACAACACGTTACAGCGAGATCGACTAACGGAGAGTCGATCGCAAATCAAGCCCGATCGGCTGAAAGATACATTTCGAACGACACGTTACAACGAGAACGACTAACAGAGAGGCAATCAAAGAGGACGTGACTGTGGTAGTGCACTTACATTCAGAACACGTATTGGAAGAAATTTTGTAGCGTTACTAAGAGTGATAAATCACGAGAAGTTTATGTCAAGGGTGCGGATACCCAACCACTTGAGGATGTGTTTTCCCAGGAAATCACCGAGCCAGTTAATGTCTTGGTGAATGACAAATCAAGTGTAGGCGCTTACACACTTGATCTGGATACACCTGTAAAGTCAGCTTCGGGGGTAATGAAGTCGCCAACGCTAGAATCTAAGCGATCATTGCGAAATCTGCGTTTTGACAGGATCAAGCAGATTTGCGAACTTGTCACAGAGGACGAGCACGTCGCCGACTTTCGGGCGGCTCAAGTGTTTACTGAGAACGAAAGGGTTTTCATTATACCATTGATGGATGAGAGTATTATGGATGAGAAGACCCGGATTGAGCGATACACTCCTCAATCTTGGGAGTCTTTGAAGACAAAACCTTTGTATAAGGATTTGGTCGAATTCAGGGATGTTTCCCCGAATCCGTGCAATGCGAGCTGCCTTAGGACAAAGACACTCGGCATGAGATCGAGCTACATCCCGGTTCGAAGTAATGTGTCATGAAGCAGTCGCCAATGCCTCGTGAACAGGTCCCAGCGATCGACAATTCTTTGCCGATCGATTAGCGGCTGGTCATGTGAGGGAACCAACTTACCCACACAGCTCTCCGACCTTCTGTGTGCGAAAGGCCACAGAAGGGTGGCGGATAGTGCACGCGCTCAACAACTTGAATGCTGCAACGGTACCGGCTCAAACGCCGATACCAAGAAAGGACGTCATCATAGATGGTATGGCAAAGAGTACCATCTTTCCATCCATGGATCTGATGGATGGATTCTATCATATCCTCATATGTGAACGGGATATCCCTTACACAGCAGTGATCACCCCCAGTGGTATTCTCTGGGAGTGGCTAGTAATGCCACAGGGGCTAAGTAACGCCCCTGCAACGTTCAAAAGATGTGTTACGAATCTGTTGCAATCGGTGCGCGACTTCGCACCGAGTTTTTTTGACGATGTCTTCGTCCATAGCCGGTCTATGGATGGAAAGACGGACGTGGAGGTTCATAAAATCCACGTCCGGAAGGTTCTTACACTAATGCGAGAGCACAAGATGTTCTCGAACCTCAAGAAGTGCATATTCGCAGCAAACGAAATACTACTTTTTGGCTTCATCATGGGTAAAAACGGTGTACGCCCTGATCCTGAAAAGGTCAAGGCGATTAGCGACTGGCCTGTACCAGGCGACGTCAAGTGACTTCAAAAGTCCTTGGCTTAGCGGCGTACTTGCACAATTACTCGCGCAACCACTCCGAGATGACCGTACATCTCTCTCGTCGCTAAAGAAAACGAGAGGTAGTCATGGAGCGCTGAGTGCCAGCACTCTTTTGAAGTTATCAAGTGAAACTTGGTGCAATTGCCTGTGTTGGCGATTGCAGACCAGGACAGACCATTCCTTGTGGTCTGTGACGTCAGCGATTTTGCAATCGGCTGCGCGTTAATGCAGTACGACTGAGACGGCGTTGAGCGCGTCGTCTGTTATCAGCTGCAAGCAGCTGAGCGTAAATACCCAGTGTATGACAAGGAACTCCTTGCCATGAAATATGCACTGGTTAAGTTTCGGGTATATCTCTTAATAGATAGTATTCTCATCGTTTATTCCGACCGTGCGTCATTACGCAAGGCCGTAAACAGTCCACACCTCTCGCAACGAATGGCAAGGTGGCTGTCTTTCTGCGCGGAGTACAACTTCTCCGTCGATTACAAACCAGTAAGACTTAATGTCGTCGCTGATGCTCTTTCGCGTCGGCCCGATTTCGAGCCGACTGCTCAACACAACAGTAGGGGTGATCCCAATGTAGCAACACTAACAGTGGGTGTTCCGTCGTCGAATATGCTCGAAGACGTGCGAAAAGCACACGCAGAAGATGAGTCTCTTCTGCGGTTGATGTATTACGTATCCAATTCGTGTAATCAAGCTTTGAAAATCTTGTCGTCTCGATACCGCTCTTCAACCGAACGGTATTCTGTTCGTGATGGACTACTGTACGATCCAGCAGTCAACGGCGACACACCTCGTGTCGTCGTTACGGCTCACAATGATTTGCGATTGCGCATCGTGTATGAGCGTCACGATGCCCTAACAAGTGGGCATCGCGGTAGAGGAAAGACTTACCTCATGATAAGTCGCGAGTTCTACTGGCCCCGTCAGTATGAGTTTGTGCGGAAACACATTCGCGCTTGCGAAGTTTGTCAACGGGTGAAGCCTAGTCCTTAATTTCACGCACCCTTACAGCCTCTTTCGGTTCCGGCAGGGTGTTGGCAGTCCGTATCGATGGACTTCGTCTTCGGATTTCCCAATGACGTTCATACGAATACGGGTATTCTTGTGTTTGTCGATCGGTTCAGCAAGATGGTACATCTTGTTGCTGTACCGGAGTCAATCACAGCCCAGTGCTGTGCGCGTGTCTTCATCGATACTATCTTCTGACTTCACGGGTTACCCCGTGAACTCCTGTCTGATAGGGACCCCCTCTTGACAGCGGAGTTATGGCAATTCGTGTTCCGTTCACTTGAAACAAGGTTGAAGACGTCAACTTCTGACGATTATGAAGCAGATGTTCCGACGGAACGCATTAACTGCGTCCTCAAAGAGATACTTCGAGGGTACGTCCACTCGTTTATGAGTTGCAGTGAACTCTTGCCGATGGCGGAATTTTCCATCAACAACTCGGTGCACACGTCGACAACGTATACACCATTCTTCGTGAATGTCCTACGCCACCCACGTTTACCCGCCTTCTTAGAGTGTGACGCTAGTTTAAGGGGGGAGTGTACTCGCTCGAACAAAATCGATCTGGTTCTTGCCCATCACCCGTCGACAATGGTGTCGTCGTGATGGATGCCAATGTCGACGCGATCAACATCGATGATGATGATGACGACGATGCTGGTATATTCAGCATCGCACATGACTGCCAAAGTGAGGATGATGTTACCCTCACTAGTGAAGAAAACGTTTTCTTCACCAGTGCACACGAAGCGCACTGGTGTTGACAAGGATGAATCTGCAGAGGAATTTCTGCTGACTCGCGAAGCGGTTGTCCACTTCTTTAAGACTCTATTGCAGATGAAATATCTAAGCAGAAAAGAAATGCAGACAAACATGCAAATGCAAATGCACTTAATGAAGGAGACTTAGTTTTACTGTTTACAGTAAATCTACCGAAACACGCAGTGACAAACGTGGGCAGCCGTAAATTACTGCCCGAGTACATCGGTCCATTTCGTGTGCTGAGCCGTGTGGGCAACGCATACACGATTGAACTGTCTCGTAGGATGCCTACGCATCCTACGTTTTATGCCAGTCGTCTCCGCCCGTACTATCAGCACGAGCCCGTTTCGAGAGGCGAAGTACACCTTCGCGGTCATGAGTCGAGAGGACCTTCGAGTGGTACCGTTTCAACGAGCCTGTCTGGTCGACTAGCGAAGCAACATGCTTATGCATTTGAGCGAGGTATTGACAAGCTGCTGTCAGCTCGTCACGAAAAAAACAAATAGAACGTTCGTTTTCAAGTCGTGCAAACGCAAACGCGGCACTATCTTCCGAACGATCGTGCGCTAAGGAATCGTAATTATCCTTTACAATTGTTATGAAGCTCATAGCGTGGAGTTCGTTAGTGAGCTCAGTCGTCGTGTGACTGTTCCGTTACACGGGTTAGTTCCTGAACATCAAGATGATCCGACCATCGATCCGGAACAGGTGTTTCTACCACAACATCCTTCGGTGGATTCTCTCGGTGGTCAACGCGTTCTAGTGGAGCGCATTTTAAACAAAACGCGACATGAATGGCGTGAATGGCGTCAAGACGAGTTACCTCATCCGCTGGCGTGGCTATCCATCGGCGTGGGACAGCTGGGAGCCTAGTGCCCAGCTGATTGTTGATGTCCTGGGTCTCGTCGAGCAATTTGACGAGACTCACCCGCTACGTTCGAAGAAGGTGCGTCGGAAAATGACCTCCCCGAACGCGATTACAGGGATTGCTAAGTGTGAATCCCTTCGGCCATCTCAGACGAGATGTGCGCCCTCCAGTAGGGATCATTAGGTAGGTAGGCCTTTCTTAAGGCACGATAAGCATTTTCCAGGCACCCTGGATAAGGAATGCCCCATTAAAGACAAGTTTCCCCTGCTTTCTTGACAGTCGATGCAACTTGTATCGTATACTGGATGGGTAACGCTTTCAACCTGATGCGAGCTGCAACAAGTTTATCGATCCAGGCCTTACGGCCAATGAACTCGATGTTATGAATGAGGGCATATCATCCCTGAACCAAGGCCTTACCGTCGCGTCCACGGTTGCCATTGGTTCACTCATGTTTGACGAGCACATCGATGTTGACTTCTTCCTCAGCTCGAAAAGTTTTCGAGCTGGAATTGGGAGGAGAGATCCTCCTACGGTCGAACAAGTGGATTCGATCTCGTTCGATGGTCAACCCGGCCACTAGATCTCATATCCATGGATGATGGCATCCAATGAGACTCCACTTGAAAAGTATGGCGCAAGTCCTTGCGGTCTTTGGCCTCTTGAGTGGTATCTTCATTAGCACTAACACCAGTAGCAGCTCGATCCCCCGTGTTGCTTCTCTCGTGGTGACGCATGGGTGCGTCACCACTATCATCACACGTCCTAGAGTCAGATGGACTCTCGTGAGACTATACTTATTTCAGACGAATCGCTCGGTCCGAAGATCTCGGAAATGATAGCCCGTGTTCCCTAGAGCCAGTCAACCTGGCTCTGGCAGTGTACGACCCGGTTGACCCGGGTGACCTGGAGGCAGGAGGCGCCGCCTTCGAGTTGGAAGCATCATCCGACTCGCCAGAACAGAAGAGATTTATTTCAGGCTTATCCGTATTGCAAGTCGTAGCACCCGCTGAAGACGCAGCGGATGCAATTGTCGCACGTGGTGACTCACGAAGTGGACTATATCTAATAGGCACTGCCTGTTGCTCACTTAAAACAGCAGGTGAAAGATCATTTGCTACTAAGGCTTAAGAAGTACTCTCTCCGGCAGCACGCCTGCGCCAACCTCACATCTTTGGCAGCGCACCGCATGGACTTCGAAATTATGCAAAGAATTTTCAAATGAGTTAAGTTTGACAAACAAGTGCTTCCTTTTTCCTAAGTAATCAAACGTTGATCTCCCTGTCTCCAATCAACTTAATTCAATCACTGGTGAAATCGATGGTTACGGGAAATGTGAAGGGGTGGACCTTTAAATGATATTGACACTGGACGATTTTATTCGGGAGATTGTCTAGCGTCAAATCTCCTTCCAATGTTAACTGAGATATCTAACATAGAAGAAATATTATCTATCACGATAAAATTCACGTGCTGCTCGCAGGTTGGTTTGTGAAAGACATATCAACCAAAATTACTACCACTTACTGCTAGATACGCGCAATGGGCAATGAGCAGGTTGTCTTCAAACGATAATGTAGATTAACAAAGTTAGATAAAGACTGAAGTTGTATTCATAGCTTAACTATATTACAAAACAGTTATCTTTTTACCTTTACGTAGACTATTAATTTAAATAGATTAAGCTTCCTCTGCACGTACGAGCGTACGTAAATCTTCGTGACACCCAATATAAGGGTGCCTCGTTACAGAGATCGGCTCTTTCTCGACCCCAAACTGTGCGAAAAGGTCCTTGTGAAGGCCTATAGCGATGTCGGTGGATACGGGAAAGGAAGGTTAAGAGGAGGAGAAGCACATAAACTGAAGGTGGGCTACCAATCTTCTGTTTAAGTTGAAATTTAGCGGTGACAACTGTAACGCGTGACTGTGCTGCATTCGTGAATCATTAGATTCGAGTCATGCGCTATTAATCGACCGAGCAAGGTACCGTAGCTATGAGACTTTACAGATGTGCTAAGCTATTGCTACTATTCTCACTTTAAATGATTAACTAATGTGTGAATCGATGATGTTGTGTGCATCGTGAATTTCCTTAGGTCGACTAATTTATCGTTGTTTCCTAGGTGAAGCCACGACTGCCACGTGCCTCGTCACACAATGACGCTTAGATGGTTGCGCAGCGCATCAGACTTGCCGGGGTAGAGGTAATTGAGAACATAGACCACGGCACGCGTTCATGCTATGGATATCGCGCAGTTAGAATCAGTAAGCGTCTCGCATGCTGCGTAAATACCAGCTAATGGGGATAAGTGTAGTGCTATCTTCAGCAATTTTGCATGACCATTCAGTGCGCCGCTGACTTATTTAGCATTGTACAATTGCAGGACATAACCGGATACCGAGTTTATTATACAGGCTTAGGCTACAGAGACATCGATCAGCGTTTATACCTTTCATTAACTTACTAAACTCTCTCGTCTGTTTCAATCATACCCTTTCTCAATTGCTGTCGCCATGATCCATGACCTGCAATTTTGGTTTTGTTAAACGGAAACTGATCCTCGCTTGCGGTATGTTTCGTAAGGATGTAGGACACGGGGTCGCAGTCTTGACATAACAAAGCCAGAAATGGAGCATACACATAACCCATGCAATTATTGTCTCAGCAAACATTTGACAGTGGACAGCTGGGGTCGATTTAGTCTAGTGGTACCATGAACTCGCCTGAGTCGGTCGCTGCTGTTTGTCTAACATCTTAATGCAATGATAGTATTTATTCTATGTCGATTCTACTCTTGGCACCTGGAGCCTTATATTATTCAATCATCCATAGAATAGCGTGGTGCACATTAAATCGGTCACGAAGTGGTATTAGTTTTGCAACTGGTGCGGGTTTTGCAATTTTTGCATCTGGATAGAGCTGGGTTTGCAATTTACTCTTTCGTTAATCTTCCAGTCACCTGTTCAAAGTTGTGCACTAAAGACGGTCGAAACCTCTCCTTTTCAATAAAGGTCATTCACCTTCGGCAAAGAAAACGCCTTGCTATAACTTAAATGTTGAGGGAAATTTTCATAGGAAGGCCTCCCTGGAAATTGCAGGAATAGCAGATGGGTGTTCAGGAAGATGTCGAAGATACAAAATGGGCAGTAAGCCACTTAATTGTTGTATGGGTCAATCAATTTATATTTGCAACCATAATGTGACTCGGCATTCAACACTTCAAAAAAAGGATTTCTTCTTATTCGAACGATGAAGTTAAACGAACACAATCATGTGCCCATATAATGCACAAAGGTATCCGGACTGAACTTATTTTATTTGATGGACGTGTGCGTAAAACAGATGTGTTTAAAGTATGGTACATTTGTTTAGGTCGACAAGTTTTACTTCAACCTTCGTATTGTAAGGGAAGATATCACGGCTAGTCGCGTATTCTCGCCACTCTAAGACGCTTCGACAGCTAACAAACGAATTCGACGGGTCGTGCAAGAGTTGTATGACACCCCATGCTGCACCAAGACATCTTTACTGCCTACAGCTTATCTTATGTACGTGTGTAAAAAGGAACCTTTTGATTTCTTGTATTTGCTTAGGTCAAATACTTCAGTTTTGTGTCATAGGTGGAGATGCCGCGGCTGACCAAGTATCTTCGCTGATCTGGGACACTTTGATGTTCGCACAAGCCATTTGGACCAACCAGAAGCCTATTTATAAGGCGATTGCATACCACGAAGCGCTGCGGATTCAGCAACTATGTACCGAAAAGAAGTAAGCGTTTCATTCGTTCCGTAAGCCAAAAATTAAAGGTGCAGGCGAATTGATTTTATGCGGCAGAGCAGCATAAATTTTTTGTTTAAATCACACAACGCTTATAAAATTGCTTAATCACCGGACATGATTGTGTACCGAGTCTGATATCCAGGCTTAGCAACAGCATACATCCAGCAGCATTTAAATGTTTGTCAGACACAGGTTTCTCTCCCTATAGTAGTTTAAGTCAAAGATATGATCTAGAATACTTACGAAGAGCTATGAAGTGGAACTGACTTTGTAACATGTGAATGAAATCTCGCGTGTGGTTTTAGTTTGAAATGATGCCGGGCATTGCGGCCGCAGTCGTGACAAATGGCAAAAACATTAAAGGACAAGGCACATCACTCAGGCAAAAAAGCAATTCACAGCGCCTTTTTTTGTTTTTTTTGAAGGCGGACTTTGCATAGCGGTAATTTGGTTGTCTTAATGTGCCCTACTTGTGCAAAAAGCGGAATTAATTTCATTCTATGTTTTGTGATTCCTAGATATTTACTCTTTCTTTTTGCTGGATTTCAGCCTTCTTGTAGTATGGTGGTAGGTCAATAGATACTGCAGGGGTTCTTGTGCTGACCATCACTTCAATAGCCTTCCACATGTAGCTCTAATTGACAGTAATAACAAGGTACAACCAATAAATATCATACGTCACATAGTTCTTAAACCCTGCATCATAATGCAAAGCGACGAGGAAGTGGTAAAGCAATTTTTTATGAGCAAAATATAAAGTTTTAGCGCTTCAGCTTCGAATTCGACGCGCCGATACTTAGGAAACCCCTCATCTTGTGGTAAACCATACAACTGGCAACTATTAAAACACTTCATAAATATCTATTCCAGTCTTCTTTTATCGCCAAAGCACTCGATCATGTGAATCATCTATAAGCTCGTGCGCTGTCCACTTCTCGATCTAATCTGGACGCTTACCTTACACGCACATGGCGATCTTAGTCAATACTGCCATCGCCTATAAATAGGGTGCATCTTAAAAGCATTTTAACAGTGGATAATTGTTGTCACTCACACAAAATGAGTCGTGAGAAACCTAAAAAACGGTCATGGTGTCACTGGCGGTACAAGGATATCTTACTGGCGCCTGTTTGTTCTCTCGTTTGTTTATGAGGTCGTATTTTTACTTTGTCTTGTACCTGAATAACCGGTATTAGCCTAAATTTTGCATGCCGTTTCCAGTAAATCGGTTCAGTCTCTATAAGACATTCGGTGGCATCATTTCCAATCTTAGTCCGTATCTTTGTAAGCGCAGCGCTGTAGTCGATGCGAAAAGAAAACCTATACGGCCTCTTGTAACTCTGTCTACAAAACTTTAAGGTGTTTCTTCGCAATGCGCGTAAACTGCATCATACCAAACTTAGTTTAAACAATTTTACCCGTTTTAAATCACAGCGAATTTATAGTACTTAGACGTGTTCATGATCGCACATGACTGCGACACAACGAGGTCGAATCCGTTGTCATTACCACAATAAATGAGCTATGATGTCATTGTTTTACGCGTGCACACAAGCCGTACAAGTGTGACGTTGTTACCGTATTAAAAACGTCCCACTAGACAAGAAATCACGCCCTCTTACTTTTCAGGTGGTGAATGATTGCCATAAAGCCTGCTACCTGCACTTTGAAACAGTTACTGTTGATGGACGCGTCGAAGGCTTCAAAATTTGAAAGAAGCCGTTGTCCTGGCCTCATTTCGTTCAATAGCGCACAAGTTTACTGACGCGCCTCAAATCCCGAAGTTAGGAGCTATGAACGAGAGAGATGATGTCCACAGCCCGTCCATCCTATCTACCACCGCTCCTTAGCTACGTAAAAATGTCACAGTGTGTTAGTATTGTTTCAATCACGAATTTGAAAGATCTCCACAATCGACTTACTCTTGATGCCCTTGTAGCATCGTAAAGCTTCCCT